CCCTCGCTCCCGAGAGCCTCCTGCCGCAAGCCACACGACAACAGACAACTGGGAAGCTCTCTTCACCGAACTGTAGCGATTGCGCGTTCTCGGTCCACTCATCATGGACGCGCGCCGACTGTACCAATTCGTACGCCAAGGGTCCACCCGTCATTGAGTTGTCCGGTTGATTGGACGGCTCGCCTCGCCCCCAAGAGCCTCCTGTCGCAAGCCAACCGGCAATGGACGGCTAGGAGGCTCTCTTCCCCCTCGACGAGCCTAGGAAGGCGAATACTCCACCATCCTTTGCCCCGCCCCGAGAGCCTTCTCCCCAAGCCAACGGGCAACAGACGGCTAGGAGGCACTCTTCGCCCTCGATGAGCCTAGAAAGGTGGATATCACGCCGTTCTTTATATAGGAGTAATATATGATACGCACACTACATGCGAATTTCAGGGAGAAAAAACCAAATAGAAAAACAGCTCGATTTTTAAGGGTTTTCCTGCGGTGATTTCGTAAAAGAAAGAAAATCGCTGCTTGGGCTCCCCTCCCCGCCCGCCCACACAAGTGACTAGAGGCCAACAGAAGAGGAGTGGAATCATTCATTCATTCATCCATGGCTCCCCTCTTTGCCTCCTGCCACGCTTCCCACGCGTCCCTCCTACTCCTCTCCCCCAACCCCGCCGCCGCCGCACGTCTCCGCGTCGGTGGCCTCCGAGTCAGGCGGCCGCGCCGCCTCCGCCTCCCCGTACGAACCGCCGCGGGAGGCAGCCCACTCGATGCCGAGATCCCCGACCCTACAGTCGACGACGACGAGTGGGGCCGCGAGCCGCCCGCTTCCGCGCCGGGTAACTCGCGCCCTGGCGTCACCGATGAGTGGGGCGAGCCGGGGGTGGCCGAGCCTGAGCAGCCCTCCGGCGCCGACACCCCTACCAACGACGACGAGTGGGGCGGGGAGCCCACGCCGACGCCGCCCAAGGCGAAGGAGGCTCCGGTTACGAAGGAGAACGAGGGGAGGGAGGAGCTGAAGCGGTGCTTGGTGGACACGGTGTACGGCTCCGGCCTGGGCCTTAAGACGTCCTCGGAGGTCAGGGGGGAGGTCGTGGAGCTCGTGGCCCAGCTCGAGGCTTCCAATCCCACGCCCGCGCCCGTCCAGGCGCCAGAGCTCGACGGAAACTGGATACTCCTGTGAGCCTTCCCACTTCTTGCTCTCAATCAATACTTGCTAGTACTCACTACTTCGATCGTCAGTTCGATACGTCAGTGGAATGCTTTATTTGAATTTTAGCCACTCAGAATGATTGCGTGCTGTTGCCGTTGTTCTTCTGACCAAAGGGTGTTCTAAGTTGAGGGCTCCTTTGGTTAATAGGATAGGAATGTCATAGGAATAGGAAAATCATAGGAAGTGAGATAGACATGTATCCCAATTCATATAGGGAAAGAGATGTCATTTGAAGCATAGGTAGAAAATTTTCCATTGAGTCTAGGATAATGTCACTTTTCTTTGAAATGTGAAGGATTGGTTCCTATCCTGCATAGGAATGAATCCATTCCTGCAAACCAAAGAGCTCCAAAGGATTTTTTTTCTTTAAAAACCCTATCCTATACGATTCCTACAAAAATCCTATAAGCCAAAGGAGGCCAAACTGTTTAAGCAGTCAACTTCTTATAATGCTCTTGCTCTGCCAAAGCAGACGACCAATTTCCCCCCTCTTAGAATTCTCATTAGCACTGAGGGGGTCCAGTCAGTTACTTGTACTTGTACCTACTTAATTGTGCATGGTCGTCAACTTTCAGGTATACAGCATATTCTGAGCTTCTACCGATTCTGCTTGCCGGGGCAACACCATTCACCAGAGTTGATAAGATATCCCAAGAAATTGACTCGAGAAGCATGACGATAATTAATGCTTCAACTATTTCGACTCCATTTGCTTCGTTTTCATTTAGCGCAACTGCTTCTTTTGAAGTCCAAACTCCATCAAGGATAGAGGTACAGACCTGCTTCCCGTCAATTTTATGCTAGTCTCAGTTTATACTGCATTGGTTATTTCAGCTTTCCAGACATGTCATGTGGAACAGTTAATTTGCTTCTTCAATTACAAATAGAACATTTTGTATCATTAAATCATTTCGCTAGTTACATTTGCTTCTCATCAATGTTATTTTAAAACACTTTGTATTATGAAATCCAGATAGTCTGTAGCCCCTTCGTCAAACCATTTCGCTAGTTACATCTACTTGCTATTTTTAAGAAATATGGGATGCAAATTAGCAAATTAGGGAGAGACCCCTTTGTGTTGCGCTAGACTGAGATATATAATCTAGCATGGCTGCAAGCCTTCAACTCAAGCATTCAACAGACGCATTTGATACCAGTATTGCCGCCTACCTGTCATTCTCCTAGTTACGGTGTACATAGGATGATAACTTGATAAGCAAATCTCTTGTACCAAATGTTTGAGGTGCACATCATGGTTACTAAAAGACTTGGATGTTTCATCAGTTACAAGAATACAAGTTGCCCTTTACCATGTATGTAAGCCGTCCTTGATAACATAGATATGCCAAACTGACACATTACTTGTTCTCATGAAGGTCCAATTCAAAGAGGGGAGCTTCCAGCCTCCTGAGATATCATCATCAGTAAATCTACCTGAACAGATCGCCATATTCGGGCAGAAGTTCAGCCTGGGGCCTGTTAAGGAGCTGCTGGAGCCTTTGCAGCGAGCATTTGCTAGCATTGCAGGGTCCATATCTGGGCAGCCACCCCTCAAGGTACCGATTCCCGGAGACAACAAGGCCAAGTCGTGGCTTTTGACAACCTACCTGGACAAAGACTTGAGGATTTCAAAAGGCGATGGAGGTGGCGTGTTTATTCTTGCCAAAGAGGGGAGCCCTTTACTAGATTAACTGTACATGTGTAATAGGTGTCATTATTCATATCTGCAAGGTTGAAAACCACAGTTGCAAGCCTACAACGGAGCATTCTTCTCCCTCTTTGATACACAATTTTCTGGTGGTTTTGAGTCTGGCAGAATCAACTAAATATTGTCGGTATGGAGTCTCCATACGCTTTCTGCTCCTTGGTAACTACGTAGTGTACATTTTTTGTGTTATTAAAAAGGAATGTGCACGATACTTTATCGTAAGAGTATTTTCTGCTCCCTAGCTCAGCCAACTAAACCAAAATTACCTGAGCACCATGACATTGATTAAAGCAGAATCCTGAGCACCATGACATGGATTGCATGCCAGATAACTCTGGATTCAGTTATTGCTTCTGAGTCTGGGTTCAAACAGGATACCCTCTGATCCTCTTTAGTTCAATCAAACTGAATTTTCAGAAGACATGATTTTTTAAACTTTAGTTCATTTGATTAACTAAGGAATATGGGAGGGTACCTGAGGTTCACAAATTTGCATCGCTAGATATATTTCACATAAATCTGGACTGGAGGCTGTGGCCTGCTTGGAATCAGAATTTTATACAAAAATGCAAGGGAATCAAACTAAAGCGATCAACTGTTCCTTCCGTATGAGAGCTTGCTTAAGGTACATCTACATTAACAACTGAGACCTGTCACGCTTCAAATACAGAACTGGGAAAATGGCAGCACATCTACATTAACTGACACCTGTCAGGCTTCAAATGCAGAACTGGGAATATGGCAGCAACACAACGCTTCTCAGCAAATAAGATGTGTATCAGGCAGATATAACCATCTCCTAGAGAACATTCTAAAAAAAAACAGAAGCCTGTAATCTCCACCTTTTCTCTCTAGTAGACTACATAATTACAGAGGCATTTCCCTGTGAAAAAAACTGTGGACGAAAATGGCGTCGCCTTGTACTGTTGTTATGGTACAACAATTCTAAGTCGCAAGTGGTTGCCTCCATTTTATCGGTTGACTTGAAGATACAAAAACGGCAGCCCACATCGCACACCTAACTCGGATCACATTTTTCGTCTGCTTACACAACATGAAAGTTTCCTTGTAGTTGAGTTCACTCTTCATCAACATGGTTTCTGCATTAAAAACATAGGTTACCCATCACGTACAGATGCACCGGCTCAAACGCATATACTGTGAGAGGGAAGTGGCCATCCATAATTCATTTCTGTTGTTCATGTCTAGACCACCGGAAAACATAACATCAACACTGTAGATTCAATTACACTCCCTCCGTCCCAAAAATTTTGTCTTAGATTTGTCTACATACGGATGTATCTATTCACGTTTTAGTGCTAGATACATCCGTATCTAGATAAATCTAAGACAAGAATTTTGGGACGGAGGGAGTAGAAAGCATACCATCTCCAACATGATGAACGTGCTGTCGAAATAAATAGTTAATCTTGTGATGTGCATGCCTGTGACTAACTAACCTTAAGGGGTACCATTCAGATATGGGGAAAATAGCATGGAGCTGTGTTATATAAATATATCCTCTTTCTCCAAACATTTTTTAGGTGTATTCTTCCTATTGATGTGTTAATGTTTAGCAAGAAACCACAAGTGCCAGCAGTCCAGCAGCATAAGTATAAGATGTTTTGAAGTAGCGATGGAAGTATTTCACTAAGCACCAATCTGTGACTCCAAATTCGAGTGGAAACACATCTAGCTCTTAAACCGTTTCCATAATACTTCATTTTAGTTACAGAAGTTCTCCCCTGATTTATCAAGTAACAGTTCCCATAGTGCCAAGACACATAGTGAGTGTTACCTTTGATATTCTCTGTTCTCTTGTTCAACCAGGTGCTTTCCAAATTTAATCATTTAAGAAACATTTATTTGCATGCAATTACAGAGAGAAAAGGGTGAACCTCTGTTAGTGGCGAAGAGAACTTTCATGACTAACCTCAGCATGAGAGTGAGACACAATGTCCTCTCCAATGCGTAGATAACGCACCATGGATTCAACACACCTAGGATACATGGCAGACCTTTCAAATATATAAATGCGCCAACAGCACAAGACAAGAATCCAACTGACAAAGCTTTGTGGTTTGCCTGCTATCATTTGAAAACTGTGTCCTGCATCCTTTTGAACACCTCATGCACAGATGAAGGATCTATATCATATCTAACACCCTCACCACCATACTGCACAAAGAGGTACTCTCTTGAGGACATTGGAGGGGGCAAAAGATCACATAACTCCACCAGATCTTGAACAGGTGGCAAGGGCATATCCCTTTGGTTCAGTGAATGATACACATCTGCCAGAAGAAGCCACACGAGGTCATCATCCATACAGGCAAGTCCAGTCAATGCCCTCATAGCAGCTTCTCGCAGACCTATCAAACCACTATAAGCAATCCCTACCACAAGGCCACAGATCTTCTTCAACACACTTTCCAATGCAATAGCACTCCTTTTGTGGGAAGATATTTCAGTGATCATGTCCAAGACTGCAATCTGAATCTTTTGGCTGGATATCTCAGCCATAGGTTCCTCTGAGGTAAGTGAGGTATTCCTATATGGTAAAATAATTGCTTTTTCATCCATCGATGACAGTGTTTTCCGTCGGAATGGAGACAAGGCCAGCAACCTCCAAATAATATATCCATCCTTATGAAACCGGCGTACAAAAAAAATACCACCAGATATTTGAATGGTTCTGCCTAAAACTTGTGTGCATCTTCTGACAATAGGCTGCAAAAACCTTATTCCGGTGAGAGTAGATATCATATAGAACTCACATATTTTACAGTAAGACTGGAAACAGAGAAACAGGTAACTGAAAATTATCCAGTCTAGCAACTCATAGACTCAACATTACCATGCCAAAAGTAAATTTGAAATCTAAGTAGGTGATCAGAGATTCCATATCCAAGCCAACAAATTCTGTACTAGGTACTAAACGTACAAACCAATATTGCATATTATTTCATGCAGTGAATTGGAATTTTATGTCTTGGTCAGTTGGAGAGCATATGCTCCATGACTACCAAATTGTAGATGAATCTAGCATTCAATGAAGGCAAAAAAAGAGGTAAAGTACTAGTATGAAAATCAAGAGTGTAATGGGTGCAAGTGCAACATCATTCATTGAACTGGGGTGATGTTCAGGGCATATTGTTCACGTATGTAAATAATATGAACTATTCATCTGCATTAAGAATCAACACATATCCTCTGGAGCACAGATAAAAAATCTGGTGGCACATGTTCTTCAGAATATAGTTGTGGTCAGTTCTACTTCAGAAGCAAAGTTGATCTCATAGAGGAGCGGGATTATAGATGGGCCAACCAAAATAAGGCAGGTCATCAAACAGGATACAAAAAGAGTAGCTGTCACTTGAGAGGAGAGGTTACTGGATGAGGACAAGTAACATGTGCAATATTGGAAGTAATTTGGGTTTGATCATATTCACACTTAATATTTGGATTCCAAAGTAGCTGTAGGAAGCCCTTTGGATCTAAGAACGCAAATGGTAAAAGAAGATGCTGAACTTAGATGTGACACAGGGCAACCACAACGCGCTATATCTGATTCTAGTCAGCAGAATATGTGGGTCATTGAGTATTGAAGTACACCATGATTTCATAAAAAAGGGCAGCCCGGTGCATGTAGCTCCTGCTTGCGTACGGTCCGGGGAAGAGTCCAACCACTTTGGGTCTATTGTACGCAGCCTTTCCCTACATTTTCTGTATGTGACGCCCGGGTAATTAAGCTACAGTAATCCCCGCTAATGATGCCACGTCACCTCGGTTACTGTGGATAAACTCGCGTTAGTTCGGAACCTAGTTCGAATTTCAAATTCAAAATCGAGCAAACAATAAAAGTTTTCAAATATTAAAATTTAAATGTCCTGAGTGAACCAAATGATACATAGGTAATTATGGTGAAGAAACCAAACTTTGATAAAATGCTTAAAGGCCCTGAAACAATTAAAACAATAGTGAAAAACAATTAAACAAATGCCTATTGAATTTATAAAATGCTAACACTATTTTATTATGGGTTAAGAATTAATCTTGTAGTAGTTTATTGGTAAATACAAATTAGGCACTAGTGGTAATTTTATAAAACTAGAAATAAAAGAAACTACAAATAAAAAGAGACAAGAAAATATATATATATATATAAAAAAGGGAAAACAGAAAACAGGGCACCCCCCGCTGGGCCAAGTGGCCCAGCTGGCCTCAGCCTCCCGAACGGGCTGGCCCGCCCCATGGCCCAACCGGCCGCCCCCTGGCCTATAGGCCACCCACACCCTAGAAACCCTAACCCCCACTCCCACTCGCCCCACTCCCCTCTCCCCCTCCCCACGACCGCACGCCCCTCTTCCCTTCCCCGATCCAGATCGGGATCGGGGGGACGAACCTCCCCACGGCGCTCGGACCCTGTCGCCTCGTCCTCGCCACCCAGCGGCGCCGAGCACCGCCACC